TAGATTTCATATTTGTGTAAATATACAAAAACTAAATAAAAGTAGATCGTTACAGAAGGAATAAGTTGACCTACACGTTGAAAATGAACAAAAATTGTTGAATTGTCTGTAGAAGCATATTTCTTGCCATTGCCTTTAGGCTTGATATTAGAATTAGAGAAATGTTAATTTAGTTCAAAGAAATTAAATTAAATTTCTTTTGCTCGATTTCAAGAATATAATTATGTATAGATTACCTTATAAATAAATAAGTTTTAACAAATATTTTTTTACAGTTGTGCTACATCTATAAAATAGTTTATATACATATAATGTGATGAGGTATGACTAGACATAATTTCTTCAACCAAATAATAATAATAAAAAAAAAGACTTCACTACTCTCTTTTTGACGTCTCACCATTATGTAACTCCACTATGTACAAGTAGCATTATTTTTCTTTTTATTGACAAGATTAAGCCCTTTTTGTTTACATAAAAATAAGATTTTTAATAGATTTTGATAAAACTTGATGGCATGTGTTGTTGAAACGTTGTGGTCCCACAAAATGTATAGTTAAAATTAATTATTGATTTTAACTAAGATCTTAATCTAACTTTTTAACTGAATCAAATATAGGCTAAATATAGAGCAAGTTACTTATTTTGATCATAACATCTATAAAAGGTAAAAATAAGTAATTTTTTTTTCCGTAAAAGTAAAAATAAGTTATATATGAAAAAATTAGTAGAGACAACAAAAAATAAAATTAATTACTTTTAAGCTTAGCCAAACCTGTAGTCTTTCTTATTGTTAAAATAAGTAATTTGTTTTTAGCTCTTATTCTAAAATTTACTTACGCATAAACTATTCACGCTACACGAATGTCATGAAAAGGATATTGAGTAATGGTGAAAGTAACTTAATTTGGACAATTGAGCATTGAGCTTGGGCTAAGACTCAAGTTGTAGCTGGGCTAACATAAATTTTGGACAAATTTAAGTGTAATGTTCATTTTATTTTTACAACCATTTGCTATATGGGCTGGAGGAGACCTTTAATATCTTACTTTTCTCTTCTAACTAAAGAAAGACAACTTATTTGGAAAGTAGGTCTTAATGTATTAACCAAATTATTAACTGATTTCTAGCTTTCACCAATAAGTAGTTGTAAGTAAATTTTAAGCTCAGGCAATTATGCTATTAGTTTTTTAGATAAGTCTCGATTATTGTCTCAATCATATTTCTCCCACAAAGAAAACACGAGTGATCATCAAAGATAAATTAATTGTCATTTAGTCTACTTTTCACTGATTCATGAAGGAATGAGATCCATTTTTCTCTATTAAAACCTGAATGCGGTATACTATTGCCTTTCCTGCCATTTTCCTTAAGACTGTTTGATACATTTTACGAATTTTCATTTTTCTGCACGAAAATTTTTAATCTATCTAAATAAAATCAAAGGACTCCTAAAATTAACTTTCTAACAAAACCCAAGAGAAAGATAGCAACGTTTACATCACTATTTTATCAGACTACATTTAAATGAAATTTCAATACCTCAGAAATATTATGTCGTCGGATTTGAAACTTACATTTCTGAGTCGTTTTTCCCCGTGCTTTCTGTCATCTGGAACGTCCTTGCTAGTCATCCTGAAATTGAGAACAATGTAAGCCCTATAGATGATGTGCTCGCAGACGAACAACAAGCAATAACATACCCTTTTAGATGGATCTGTAGGTCATGGTGAGTAGCTTCTAGTCTTTTGCACAAGTTATTTCTCTTTTTCAGCTCATTTTCTAAACATGAAATCTCTTTATTTAATTCAAGATTGGCTTCCATCAGCTGGGTCTTGTGATCTTCTTTCAACATCTTGTGCATTCCAATTTGATCTCTGATTTTTCCCTTTGACTTCATAGTTTCCATCTCTGATTGCAAAGTCCCCAAAATTCCATTAGCCTCCTGCATTTGAACCATGAAAGGTTCACTCTTTGCAAATTCCAGTTGAGGCCTCACTTCCAAATCCGCATTTGAAGAGTCCTTATTTTTCAATTCAACATTCAATCTTCGATCTTGCTGAACTTCCTCCATTTGACAAGATCTGTTATGACAGTTCAAAGATGATTCTGTGGGACTGCATAGCATCTCATTGCTTTCCAAATGCAATTTGTTTGATTGTGCACATTGATTAATCAACTCATCATCCAATTCACTCTCACTTTGTGATTCATCCAAATCAAAATGATTTCTTATTGCTTCCTTCATGCTTGAAACGTCCTGAAGGGAAAAGCAATGGTTCATGATCCATTCCAAAGTAGAAGCTACTTTTTGGGCAAACTGTTCAAGATCGGCTGTTCCATTCAACAAATCCTTGCAAGTGCAAGCAAAATGTTGTAAAATGGAAGACAGTTCAGAAATTTTCCATTGAAATACACGAACCATGTAACCTGTAGTGAATTCCGAATTCTTACATGATAAAAGTTTATCATCCTTCCCCGAATAAAATTCTGCTACACTATTTTCCAGATATGGCATGTTTATTCCCTCAATGAGCTCAAGCATTTTGCATATCGATAAACACACACTTGACTGAAACTTCTGGCTACTCTTTTTTGTAGGTGAGCTATTATATGAAGTTCTTCTCACAGATGCATCAGTACTTGATGAAATATTTGCTAATTTCTGATAAACATGTCCACCAACTTCAGGAGAGGGTGATGCATCAGGCAAGTTTGTAGTTTCCTCGGCACTAAGACTTCTAAGGTTCGAATTGTTTATATGTGCCAAAGCAGCTTTGATATCCTCTAATACTTCACCAGGGCTTCTTTGTGTAGCAGAACTTTGCTCCAAAAGCAGTTTCAACATGTCACCAAGCCAACCAGGCTCCTTATTGACTACTCTGTTATCAGATTGAAATTCTTGGCTAGAGACCAAACCTGACAGACGACTAATCGCATTACCCTCCTCTGAGGAATGATAGGAACTTCCTGCTGGATAATCAACAGAAACTACTGCTAATTTTTCCATTTCTGCAAAATCATCCATGAGTTTCATTTCCGAAGTTCCTAATAATTTGTGAGATGATGTGCCCAGTTGTTTTTCAGTTTTTAAATGCTCCAGCTCTGAAATCAATGCAGAAGCCCAAGACTCGGGGCAGCTGCCCTTGTCATCACTGCCCATATCAGACATCGACGCTTGTGATAATCTGGAAGTGGTACGAGCGTGCATGTTTCTAGAAAATTCAAGTTTTTTCGGTTTCTTGTTAAGGGTTTCCTTGAGAGTCCTGTTTTCTTCTTCCATTGCATGCAACTGCTCAGTAAGAAAGCTGATCCTTTTGCTCTGTGTATCAGCAGCCACTTCCACAGAAAAGTCCATTGAACCAACCAGAGAAGGATACAATTTTCGTCCCCTACCAAGCATTGCAACTTGATCCCTACCAAGCATTGCAACTTCATCCTTCATTTTTGCGAAAGCAGCAGGACCTGGCAACCGCTTTTTGACGAGGAGACGTAAACTTTGACATTCTGATTCCAATTTTGCAATTTTCTTCACGCTTTCCAGGTGTTGCTTTTGTGAAATATCAGAAGTTTGACGATTAAATTCTCTTTCCTCACTCCGAATATCAAACTCCTTCTCAAGAACTCGAACCTCATATTTGAGAGAAGCATTCTCTTTTTTCATAGATTCTAATCTAGACATAAGAGCATTAAAATCGGCCTCTACCTGAGCCCTGTATTTATTCAAATCTTCAATCAAATTGTCCTTTCCAAAGAGAGCTTTTCTAAGTTGTGCATTCTCAACATCCAATTTGGCAAGCCTTTTACCGGCCTCCACTAACTTTTCCTCTAATTTAATCTTAGTATTCTCAAATTCTTTTGACATCTTCATCATAGCATCATGAATTCTTCTCTCCTGCTCTTCTCGAACAAATTGCAAGTGTCGCATGCATTCCTTCAGTGAGGCATCCAAGTGTCCTAATCTTTCTTCAGCAGCTTTTCTCTGCTGTAAAACATTGTCAAGTTCTTGTTTCAAATATATTGCTTCTGTCTCAGCCTTCTCCCAGCCTATATTTATAATTTATCAAGGAGATTTAAAATGGCCAATCGAGAAATTCTCTATGTAAAATTATGCACAGCTCAAAACACTGGGGAGAAAGAAGTTATTTACAATATTGTTGAACAGCATTCACCTGCAATAGCTTGCCGAGCAATCTTCACCTGTTTCTTGGAAAAATCATCCTTGTCATTACACTCAGCAAGGGCAGAAGAAAGCTTGCCATTTAATATTCTAATATCTCTTTTCAAATCAGCTTTCTCAGTCAGGAGCGCCTGCGCCTGCGCCTGTGCCTGTGCCTGTGGGAACAATATATTAATGGTGCCTGTACCTCTGAAAATAGTATGTTACCAATGCTAAGAACAACACACGATTTTTAAAAGAAAACTACATGCAGATAAATGCAATTCACTGATATCAAGTGGTTGTTATTGCTTGCTAATAGTTTCTGTATTATTGCACATATTTCAATGTGTACACCATTTATGTATGCTTGTAATACTACATACTCCGGAAAGTAATGGAAGGAGATATCTCCATACAGTTTTATACACCTGCCCCTCAATTCGAGGGCCAAATAATATGCTCAACAAATTGGTTGAAATAGATATTTGTGTAGCCACATTAGACAACTCAACTGGTAGCCAAATCCAGATAGACCTTCGTGGAAAAGTTTATGAGGGATAGAGGAATATGCAAGTACACGAAACATATTGTGGCATGGAGGACACTTACTTCAAAAATAATTGTACGCCAAATTTTAAACCTATGGTATCCAATAAAATGGATAAGGATAGGATAAGCAATTGAACCTGAGTTAACTCCTCTTCGTTTATGCTCGAAGAAATGTTTGCCTTGTCACGTACTAAGCTCTTCTCTGCAGATTTTTTCTTCCAAAGCCATGAATTGTTATCCATTATGTTTCTTAGAAACTTCCAACTCAAACAGTAGAAGCCACAAACTTTCTCAAAACTGAAAAGACTTCAGCCATTGGTCACATGCCCAAAATTTCCTAGCACTGAAACAAAAAGTCACTAGTCTAGAACAGCTACATTCTAAAAGAGAAAAGGATGGTTTATGATAGAGAAAATCAAAATTAGACCAAAGAACATGAATTTGAGCCCCTTTTACATGAAAAAGGATGGGAATCTCGAAATCAAAGTTATGTACTAGAACTAATATAGCAATAATATATAATTCTGATAAGGGTAATGATGGCAGCCTGAATATGACAATATTTTTCCGATGGATAAGTTAAGGCTTTTGAGAAGAATTGCACATGTAATTTCATAAGGATTCACATTACTTTAAATGGTTTACACTTTTAGAAAAAGTGTTCAAGAAGATCTACATTTACACTTTATTAACAGCTTTAATGTGAATATTAAGCACAAATAAAAATCTGTTTATCATTTGATATGCAACTTTTCAATTTCTGTCTATATTAATTTATCTTATCAAACTTCAAAATTTTGGTTTTTAAAATTGAGCCCAAAATAAAACAGTTCAAGCATGGAACAATTTTACTCCAAAGAAACAAAGCAAAAATGCATGTTAACAAAAAATACTATCAAAAAATGGATCACATTTTATCAAAAAAAAATAGAGAATAGAAAAATCTGAAAAACAAAGAAGAATAATTTAAACAAAAATCTACAAGCGCACATCCTAGTTCCTACTGTGAACCAAAGAAAGCGAAAAACAAAACCTCAAGTAATAAAACACGCTATGAACAGCTAAAAATGAAAAGTAAATTAATTCTACGGTATTGTGTTGTACGTAATACTCAATTATTCTACAAAATGCCGAGACTTGTGACAAATAATAGAGAGCAATGTGAAGATAACTGTGTGTATATGTACATATTGGATCATATGGAAACTAGTGTGTGAGTGTGTGTGAGAAAGTGAGAGAGAGTTAGAGAGAGAAAGGTACTTACATTTTGCAGACAGGAGGTGAAATTTGTGAGTAATAACAGCCATAGGAGTGTTTAATGGGGAAGGTGGACTAATGGTGCGGATCTGATGGCTATACGGGTCGGGTCCAAGAAATAATGGGAAAGTGACTGAGGGAGGGCTGCTTTGATCCGACGGCGGTGAGAGCGGCAATTTTAATCATGAATGCATGATTCATGTGTGTCCATGTCTTTCCCAATCAATCTCACCTTTTTATTCTGTACTTTCTTTTTGAGTGAAAATGAACCCGTGTCATGATGACCCAAAGGCTATGAAGAGCTCTTGAGAATAATGGCCCTAGAATCAATATTTGAGCTATGGGTCGATCTTGTTCCAGTTAATAGGATTGCTCGCTTCCTGAAGTGAACTATTTACTATTATAGTTTTTCTCTATTGGTGATAGACATCCTATCAATAGTGAGGTAGCAAAAGTAGGAGATCAAGTCCAAATTCAGTTAGTTAGCATTAATTAGTTAGTAGGGATATTGTGGGTAATTGAGTGAGAGATGAGCAATGCCAATATATGTGAGAATGGATGGGGTACTTGTGGGGATTCAATTCAATAGTTTCGAGTTAGTGGGGAAAGTCCAAGCCTCTTGAATTGCCTTGGGAATCGTTTAATTTTATTCGCATTTTTATTAAAATAATATTACAGTTCCTGTTCTGTCATCTGTATTAATCAGGTACAGATTCATCATAGAAGTTACACTAGTTCACGAAGGTTTGTAGCTGTACAACCATTCAGTTGCAGCAAAAAAGAAGCATATCCAACAGCAGCAACAACTGGTATCGTATCAAATTGGTATCAAAGCATCTACATTGGGAAGGAGGATGATGCTTATAGATCATGTAGGACCCTTGAAAATGAGAAGTCAATGGTATACATTCAAAGTTACAACAAGGACTAAGGGTGATAAAATCCGAGATTCAAAGGGATATGTCAATGTTGATGGGGAAATTTGAGATGAAGATGAAAAAAATGGAAGGGACAAGAAGAAGAAAGGAAGGAAGGAATGTACTTGCAATCAATTTGGCTGAAACCACTATTGATTATGAGATTCCACTAAAATCCAACGAGTCAGGAGAACTACAATAAGAAGGATTTGTCATGGGGAATAAGAAAATTAGAAAATCTAAGTCGACCACTGGAAATGTTAGTGTTCGATGGTGATAATCTCACCAACTGCATTTTAGAAAGGAAAGGTACTTTAACTTGAATCAGTTCTCAAATTGGAAAAAATTGAAGGCAATGTAGTTTTTTTCAAACGAGAGGTGTTGGCTGGGACCTTATTGCTAGAACAGTTCAGCCTTTTATAGGAGGGGACAATTCCAGGAAAAAATTTGACGCTGAAATAGGAGAGCATGGTCAAGGAATATCGGAGAATGCTTGAGAACTTGGAAGCTCCATTGTCATCGATTTCAATGTGAGTGATGGAATGAAATTTCATAATAGATTGAAGCCGATATTATAGGCGGAGGTGAGGATGCTCAAACCTTAAAGGTTCGGCCAAATTATAGAGCTGGCTCGAGGAGTAGAAGACCAAAATGAGTAATTACAAAGGGCCCAATTTCAAATTTCGGATATAAAATTTATTTATACAAAAATCATATATCAATTCATATATATCTAAATTATAATTACCCAAACCCTAAAAATTCTAAATCATTTATCACATCTTCATTCTCTCTCTCTATCCTTTCATTCTTTCTCATCCTTCTAGTCGTCTCTCTCATCTCTCGCCTCTCTCTCTTCTTCCCCTCGCAAGGCCTCCATCATTGAAGACGACAGCGGAGTTGTTGCTATGAGCAGTGAGCGGAGCTCCCTGTGATCATCGACCGACGCTGCTGTAAACGGCAGTGTCGCGATCTGTCCTTTTTTTATGAGGTGTGCGATGGTTGGGATTGGATGCGGTGGTTTCCGATCTGGAGGGTTTTTTTTCTGATTGTTGGCGTGGTGGTGGATCTGTGGTTTTAATGGTGGTGGTGTGGTGATTGGTGACGGCGGCAGAGATGATGGTAGGTTTAGGGATTTTTTTAGGTTGTAGGATGATAGTGGTGGTGGTGGAGGTTCTGTCATTTTGGTGGCGATGGTGGTGGTGTAGATGTTGGGTGCAACATGTTGTGGTCGACAGTGGTGGAGTGTAGACGGTGGTCACGGTGGTGGTGGTGGCGGCGTTAACAGTAATGGATTTGAGAAAGTGGTGATCGTGTTGGCAGTGGTGATGTGGGGGGTGTTGGTGAGGTTGTGGGGTGGTGTGAGGTGGTGGTGGATGTGGTGGTGTTTTTCTGTGATATGTTGATTAGTTTGAGGTAGTTGTGTTGTTGTCGGGAAGTGGTGGTTGTGGTGGTGGTTTTGGCAGCGAAAGTGGAGATGGTGGTGCTGGAAGGAGTGGTGCGGTGGTGATCACAAGTGTTGGTTGTGATCACAAATTATTTGGTTGATTGTGATAATTAAATTGGTTAATCTGTGACCAATAAACAATACGCGATCAATGAAATTATAAATTGTGACCAAGAAATAATGTGTGACCTAAAAAAATTTTAATTTGTGATCGATCATTTAACAATTTGTGACTGTCTGCTAAATTGTGATTTATATTTGTGATTTGTGATCGAAAATAAATTGTAACATATAAATTTTTTATTTGTGACCGATGAAAAAATTGTGACCTATAAAATTTCTGAATGGTGACCGTAAAATAATTTGTAACATATAAAATTTTAGTTTGTGACCGAAATATAATGTGACTAATTAAATTGATAGATTTGTGATCGATAAATAAATTGTGATATATAAATTTTTGATCTGTGATCGATGAACAAATTATGACCTATAAAAATTTTGAATTGTGATCGTAAAATTATTTGTGACATATAAAAATTGTGATTTGTGATCAATTAATAATATATGCCCAACTATATGGAATTTGTGACCAAATTATATGAAATTTTGACTTTATATATTTAATTAATAAAATATATGTTTAATTTTTATGACCTATAAAATTTTTGAATTTTAGCAGTAAAATAATTTGTGACATATAAAAATTGTGATTTGTGACCAATTATATGGAATTTGTGACTAAATTATATGAAATTGTGACCTTAATATATTTAATTAATAAAATATATGTTTAATTAATTTATTTATTTATAAATAAAATTAGAAAAGTGATTCAAAATTTTAAACCTTGATCTCTTAAATTTGAAATTGATAAAACTTAACATTTTAGTTATGTAATCTTCCCAAAGTTAAATATATAGCCTAAACATAAGTTTCAACCAGTCCAGCCCAAATATAAATCCCAACTCTCGCTACAACTATCCCCAGACAATGTACCAGACCTATCAAACAACTACGACCACTCCAAAATCTACGATGATCACAGTGATGCATTCGGCAGCAGAAAGGGGATCGTCCTTTCAAAAAGGTTACAGTTATGGAGTTACAACAGAAATAGGAGAAGGGGCAGTTGATCAACGCCCTATGTTAGTGTTAATCGACAGTTTTGTTTCGGCTCGTCGAGATCAAAAGGTGGAATTCTGTGGGTAAGGGCAACTAGTTATGGAGTTGTCGTGGATACTATACTTATGAAGTTGCTCGATTGAGTAAGTCCGTCTACTTCAGAGGGCCAAAACGTCCATTTTACGTGGTGATCGTGACTGGAGTTCTTGCAAGGGAAATGGTTTGGTTTGTATGATATTTCAAATTTTGGAATTGAACGGAAAACAACAACTTCCACCATGAGGACAAGGTGGCTTTTGGAGGGGCGAGTAATGATAGACCTCCAATCAGCTGTGAGGCAGCAAAGCAGGAGATCAAGTCCACATGTGAGAATGGAGAACTTGTAGAGATTCAATTCAGTAGTTTTGAGTTAGTGGGGAGAGTCCAGGCCTCTTGAATTGCCTTGGAATTTGTTTAGCTTGCATTCTCATTCTCATTTTCATTGAAATAATATTAT